AAGACCCAGAGAATTATTGCTTCCTGGTAATACTAAATCAATACTAAATATAGAACATAAACCTATTAGGCTTAAGGATCAGGACTATTTGGAAATAAGCCTGTGTTAAATGGACTGGCTAACCACTGAAATGAAAATACCAGCAGACTCCAGGACCCCTACTCTAATGAAGTCATCCTGTTTTGTTGCTCCTCCTTAAAGATCTAATTATTTCATAAATATATGAAAAAAGAATGGAAGAAAACATGATTAAAGATTGAGTTACTGGTATAACATTAAAGATTATTATTTTTTATTTGTTTAAAAATATATATATATTATTGATTTTTTACAGAGAGGAGGAGAGAGGGGTAGAGAGCTATAAACATCGATAAGAGAGAAACATCGACCAGCTGCCTCCTGCACACCCCCTACCGGGGATGTGCCCGCAACCAATGTACATGCCCTTGACCAGAATTGAACCTGGGACCTTTCAGTCCGCAGACCGACGCTCTATCCACTGAGCCAAACTGGTTTTGGCTAAAGATTATTTTGTAACGTTATACATCTGACAACTTTTCAAAAAAAATAAAATAGTTGTTTGCCAAATGTTATAAACACCTAATTAGCACCAAATGTGATTTTGACAATTAGAAAAAAACTAATTTTCATGTGGCATCAATTCACCCTTGACTACATTCAATTTATTCTTTAAAAATATTTTTATTTATTTCAGAAAGGAAGAGAGAGTGAGATGGAAACATCAATAATGAGAATCATTGACTGGCTGTCTCCTGCATACCCTCTACTGGGGATCCAGCAACCGGGGCATGTGCCCTGACCAGGAATCAAACCATGATCTCCTTGTTCATAGGTCAACACTCAACCACTGAGCCATACCCAGCCAAGCAGTTTATTCTTTATTTAGAAACTTATGTTGATTGACCAGTATAATTGACTATTAGTCACTTTGTCAACAATTTATGCATTCATTGGTTGCTTCTTTGTTTAAAAAAAATAATATCAAGAACACATTGCTTGATATTCCCCTTCCCCCCCTTTGAGTAGGAAGGCAGGTTGGGAATTGTGTGTATGGAATGAGCATATTCCACTAATTAAAACTTTTGATTTCTGACCTGGATATAATCAACTCAATATATGAGCACTGTACTAGAAGCAAGCTGTCTATGGTAAAGGGAATAAATTTAAATCTATAAAGTGAAATCCCTACATGACAAAGATATTAATCCTGTACCCTTATTACCAATCTGATTAACTATATTAGGAATTTTGGTTTATTTTCAAAATCACCTTTTAACTAAGTTGTAGAGGATATGATTTAGGTCATGGTATCTGAATCATATAATAATAAGAGAACTAAAATGTAATGCAGTTCTATTGTACTTGAAAGATTGCTGTCTCTCCATGATAAAACCTTTTATGTTGTGAAACTTTGAACTAAACTTAAACTTAATAAAATAAGACTAAAAGGAACACAATACTATTGCTGTTACAAATAAGCTTCATTATACCATTTCACAAAAAAGACATACATACAAACATGAAAGTCATAACTCATTTATTGAATGAATAGTATATGCAATACCAATAAAAGGAAGCTAGTTCTACAAACTACAATTTTGAAAATAAAGCCAATATAATAGGAACAAAATATACATAACAAGCGAGGAATGTTTGATTTTGACCCCTAATGCATTCCTTATCTTTACAACTAACCTAAATGTCTGTTAGAACAAAACTATATACCTTGGTCTAACTTGAGCGCTTTTTTTTAAAAAAGCAACATTCTGGAAGAACACTTTTCTTTTGCTTTGAGATATTTAAGATTCACACATTTGTTCAAGTACATAGATTCTGATTCAACAGTAGATCTATATAGCTTGTTATTCTCTCTTAATATCTTGAGTAGCATGTACTCCTGAGCAAGTACTATCTGAAATTCTAAAATTGCTGACTTTTGAAATAAAATGTATCAGTTGTGGGTTTTTAATAAATTGAGATGAAAGTAAAATTCACTCCCCGCCTCATCCCAGGAACAAAGAGCTCTTATTAAAGTATAGAAACTCAGGTCTATCTTTCTACTCTAAAGAACATTTCTTACTAACATTTCTGGTAAGGCAATAAATGCTCCAGAATAATCTTCAATATACGCTTGCAAAGATTACACTGTTTAATATCAATAACAAAAACAAAACAAAAATAGGGGGGGAAAAAGAGAAAAGGAAAAAAGAAAAGTTGCTTTAAATTTTCAAGCTAAAATATGCGTAAAAACACAGTCATGGCAGTATTTTCTGAAATGATGTAAATGTTATATACTTATCAAATAATGTCATGCTTATTAAAAGTACAGTTAAGGACTTAAGAGATGAACAGTAAATACAATGCTGAGGTCCATTTTTCTAAATATTCATACCACAATGTACTACCCAGAAGATGATGATGCTACTTGGGAACATAAGTACTGTACAATTTTTACATTGTAAGGCACTTTTACTCAGCATGTGACAAATATGGATAGAAAATAAAAATATCGGAGGTTTACAATCAAAGTTGATTTTTTCATGTGACTTCAATTTACATTTCAACTTTTAATGAAAAACTATTTAGCCAATCACACCACAGTGAGAAAAATAGGTAGCCAGCCACTTACCTAGACAACCAAAAGGTAAAGTGCTATTCTGGTTGCTAGTGGCAGAGAAAGGGTTGAACAAACCCATACAAAGTCATACACTGGATTACATAACAAATCCATCAACTAACAACTATAGTATTTGAAGTCCATTACATGATTATTGACTGGCCATTATTACCCCTGGCACCTTCCATTTTTCCTAAAAACATCATTACAGTAGTTGTCCAAAAATGAAGGTGCTCTATTGTCTCACGGGTAAATCGATGGCATACAATGTAAAAAGGATCTAGACACAGTGATTCAAAGATTTAAAATAATGGGTTTCAAGCTGCTGTAAGGAAATAAAGTATAGATCCCTTTGGGAAAAGTCACATAGCTTGGTAAACAAACATCTTGATCTGTCGTTGCACTTCAAGTCATGGTGAATTTTGTAAATTCATCACATACATACAAAAAATCCAATGGCATATTTAGAGCAAGAAGAGCAAAACATATAGGGAGAGCAACCCACTACTAAAGCTAGTTTCCTTCTAAAAATAATAAAAAATGGTTAAAATAAAGCAATCATCGAGTCCCTTGATTTAAGTAAATGTGTGAATACACACTTGACAAATGTGTCTTTAAGGGACAAGCAGTTAAAAAAAATCAGTCATTAAGCACAGTGTAATTTTCCACCTGTTATATCTTAAAAATGGTTTCCCATAAGATACAAAAATCTTGATGCACAGTCATGTTAACATGATTTCTTCTTGTTTGCTAATTTGCTTAAATGTGGTAGGTTAACTAATCATTCAGAAATCCCTACCCTTGATAATGAGGTGTTATGGTAATATTAGGCAGATCACAACTAAAGTTTTTGGTTTTGCCATAAAGAAATATATAAATGTGCTTCAGAAGATAAATGGAAGAAAGTATCACTAGCTAGAAATGCCAGTGTGAAAATCCTTTCTAAAAGGCTGGATTCTTAGGCTTTGAGAAATAATCCTGATGATCCATAAAACAACACCGAGCCCTACTAGAGGAAAAGTAGGGCACAAAAGCCAATTTAATAGATAAGCAAAGCACTGAATGAAAACATTAAAAAAATATTAAATAAAGTTTCTAACATAGTGGTCACAAAATTAAAAAAATAAATACTGTTTTATGCAAAGACTGTTTTTTACTTCTAGAGCACATGAGACCTCCTTACATACTTTGGGCCAATATATGAAGTGTTCCACACAACACGGCACTTGAGAGGAATGGGTTTCAGACATGGTGGCTAAAAGTCCTTAGTGAGTGGTAACCCTTTAAATCTTAAAGAGGTTTAATTTGTTGTTGCCAAATGTTAGTTTAAACTTGAAAGGATCCAATAATTTTGCTAGAAGCTCTTTATATAACATGATAAAAGAAGAGGTTTACTGTCAAGAGCATTTTGGCATAAGCACTGGAGCTCATAGCTTATAATCACCAGTTGCTTGAGTCCATGCTGGTCAGTGAGAACAACTTTACAGGAACCAAATGAAATGCTTTAGCACACTTCTTGGAAGAAATATTTAGCAGTTGCTGTCAAAGCCAAGAGAAAAAGAAAGTTCTCTTCATTTCTAGCCTTCATTACTTGAGTGTGAAAAAAATTCACAAATTCCCATGTGTTGCGACCAGAGGTGTGTTTGCACTGTAAGGTGAAATTTGCTTATGCTTACCCTTGAGTATGAATCCGCTAAACAAACTCAGACTTCTAAACAGAAGTTTGTTCAGTACAGAAATATAGCTTACTTCATTGCAATATCTGCTTTAACTGTTGACACTATACACAGGGTTAATAGTGTTTCAATTGCTTCCCAGAAACTGCAAACTACAGCTATGTAATATCAACATGTCAAACTCTGCCATCTAATGAAGAAGGCTCATAAAACAAACAAGACATTTTTAGACAGTTCAATGAAGGATCTAAGAGTTGGGCAGTAAAAAGTTACAAACCCTTTTTGATTTTAGAAAACAGTGAAATGAGAATAGTAGTTATGGATGTCTTATTCATTCCCAGTTTTCTAACTCTGTCCCATGAACCTGTTTAAAAGATGATAAAAAAATGTAAAATATGATGCTTGAGGGGAACACAATAAATATAATGTTATTGAGGAGGGAGGATATTTTACTGATTTGACATTACAATTACATTTATTGATAAAGCAGATAGCTTGTTTTTACTGTTACAAAATCCGCTAGTTTAAAAAACTATGCAAGCTCACACAGTCCTCAGCATTCTAGTGACATGCTCAATTAAACATAATAGCATTAAAAAAATCATACCGCACACCATTATTTCAACATGTTTTTATCAATGTGTATTGTATTCTGACAATAGATCCAATATAATTAACTTTCATACCTAGTTTCCATTAAGTTGCTGCTGAGTTAGTCGTTGCTGATCAATTTCTAATCTTCCCCGGCTTTTACTCTCTCGTTCCTCATCTTCTTCATCTCTTTCATCATTTCCACTATGATTTTTACAATATAGTCTACAATGATAAAAAATAAAAAATATCTAAATATTTTGCTTCTGTTCATGAGAATATATTTATTTCATTAGTGGATGAGGTTGGTGCCCATTTAAAATATGGGTTTCCTCATTCACCCTTAAAAACACTTCACAATTAGTTACATACAGGTCCATTTCTACCTAAAGAAGTGGTTCTCAACCTTTTTTTTTTTTTTTAATAATATTGCTTTAAAAAATATATATATATATATATATATTATTGATTTTTTACAGAGAGGAAGGGAGAGAGAGAGAGAGAGCTAGAAACGTCGATGAAAGAGAAACATCGACCAGCTGCCTCTTGCATACCCCCCACCGGGGATGCGCCCGCAACCAAGGTACATGCCCTTGACCGGAATCGAACCCAAGACCTTTCAGTCCGCAGGTTGACATTCTACCACTGAGCCAAACTGGTTTCGGCTGTTCTCAACCTTTTTAATGCTGCGACCCTTTAATACAGTTCCTCACATTGTGGTGTCCCCCAACCATAAAATTATTTTTGTTGCTACTTCATAACTATAATTTTGCTAGTGTTATGAATTATAATGTAAATATCTGTTTTCTGATGGTCTTAGGCGACCCTGCTAGCGGTTCTGAACCTGTGGATCGTGACCTACAGGTTGAGAGCCGCTGGTTCCTTGATGGGGGCCGGTTGGCTGGCTGAGGTAAGGGGCTGTAGGAGGCTGAGGGGGGGGGCAATTGGGGTCCCAATGGGCTGGTTGGCAGCTGCAGTGTATGTTCATAGTGACTGGCCATTCTGGGCGTTCCACTGTTCCGGCTGCTTGGCATATATATATATATATATATATATATATATATATATATATATATGGATTGCTTTCTGTTCAAGATCTTATGTGACAATTTTATTCAAACTCTTCAAATGCCTTTTCATTAGTGTCCTGGTCTTCATTAGAATAACTTTATGAATCACCGGACAGTTTTCCAGGAACTGCATTTGGTTATGTCTCTCTTAATCTAGACTGGTTCCTCAAAAAAATTTCCCCCATGCTACTCTTTTGAGAAGCGTTAGATACCTTGTCAGCTATACTACATTCTAGATTTGTCTAATCGTGGTACTGTTATTTGGTATTCCTTCATACCATATTTCCTATCAATTGGAAATAAAGCCCAAGGGCTTGGTTAGCTTTAGGTTCAATTTTTTTGTATGCAATCCTACATACTTTAGGAGGCATGTAATTTCAGAATGTTCCATTTTAGTGATGCTGTTTGATAATTTGGTTAAGATGTTGGTGACAGCCAGAGTGATCCATTGTAAAGATAGGTTTTCCCCTTTAAAATTAGTAAATAATCTTTGGAGTGATACTTTTACATCATGTAGTTTCAACAATCTTTTATTTGGACTCAGAAGACACAGTATAATTGAAATTCATTGTGTGTGGGGGTTTTTTATGAAGATAGCAATGCAGGCGATTTTGGACCAGGGTTTAGCCACTTTAATATATATGTACCAATATATTTATTTATAGCTAACCAACCCTACTATAATCAAAGGACGGGCTGATCTGAATTCAATATTAGATAAATTACAATATGTGCTGCATAACAATGCTTAGGTCTATGACAGACCACATATAGGAAGGTGCTTCCATAAGATTATAATGTAGCTGAAAAATTCCTATTGCCTAGTGATATCATAGCCACCATAACATCATAATGCAACACGTTCTTCACGTTTGTGGTGATAACAGTGTAAACAAACTTACTGTACTGCCAATTGCATAAAAATCTATATTATAAAAACCCAGTGGCCCTAATGCCATAACAACCAAAGATTGGAGTGGGTGGGTAGTGCTGCAAGCATGGCGGGGAGCATGTAGGTGGGTGAGGCCACGCAATTTCACGCGTTGGGCTTCTAGTACAGCACATAATTATGTACAGTACTTAACAATTGATAATAAAGGACTATGTTACTGGTTTTTGTATTTACTATACTGTACTTTTTATTGTTAAGTTAGAGTGTACTCTTTCCACTTATTAAAAGAAAGTTTGCTGTAAAATAGTATGTTGTATTATGCAGGCAGCAACCTCATACATCTCGTGTTTACAGTGTCTTTTGATTGCATCCTTTTCTCTTGTGCTTGTTTTAATCTTGTGTTGTTTTATAGAGTAACATGCTGTACATGCTTGTAGCTTAGGAGCAACATGCCATAACATACAACCCAGGTGTGTAGTACACTATACCATCTAGGTTTGTATAAGTGAAGTCTATCATTTTTGTACAAGATGAAATTACCTAGCCACCCATTTCTCAGAACATATTCACATCCTTAGGTGGTGCATAACTGTACACAAGATGAGAAGATAGAATAATTCTTAAATGTTCAGTGGATGCCCTCTTGTGGTCAGCAATGGATAAAAGATGATCATTTAGGAATTCATCAGCCACAAATGATCTAGAACTGAGAAGTTTCTAACGTGTACATAGAATAAAAGGTAGGCATGGGGTTGTGGGGGAACAACAATAACAACTGGCTTCTGTCCTAGTTTTGCTCATTACTCTTTTATTTTCAAAACTAGAGATCCATACATGAATGGGGTGCGGGAGGAAGGTCTCTCAGCCTGGCCAGCACCTTCTCCAATCCGGGACCCCTCAGGGGATGTCCGACTCCTGGCAGTTGGACATCCCTCTTGCAATCCAGGACCACTCACCTGCCTGCCTGCCTGATCACCCCTAACCATCTTTATGTACTGGCCTGATGCCCCTAATTGCTCCCTTGCTAGCCTGATTACCACTAAATTCTCCCCTGCCAGCCTGATTGCCCCCTAATTGCTCCCCTACCAGCCTGATGTCCCTAACTGCTCCCCTACCAGCTTGATGGCCCTAATTGCTCCCTTGCTAGCCTGATCACCCATACATTCTCCCCTCTTAGCCTGACTGCCCCATAACTGCCTCTGCCTGCCAGCCTGATCGCTCCCATAACTGCTACCCTGCTGGCCTAATCACCCCTAACTGAGCTCCCCTGCTGGCCTGATCACCCCTAACTGCCTCTGCCTGCCAGCCTGATTGCCCCCTAACTGCTCCCCTGCCAGTCTGATTGCCCCCTAACTGCTCCCTTGCCAGCCTGATCGCCCCGTAACTGCTCTCCTTTGCCAGCCTAATCACCCATAACCGCCTATGCCTTAGCCCCTAACACCATGGCTTTGTCTGGAAGGAGGTCTAAAAGATGTCTGGTCTAATTAGCATATTAAACTGTTATTAGTATAGACTTTTTCAAAGAACTATGGAGAATTTATACTCTTCAAACACTGAACATTGGGAATTATGAGTACAAATATCAAGAGTGAGATTCCTACATACTGCAGCTATGAAGTATCTTCCCCAAAATATAACTTGAATATAACTAAACTTCTGAACCAACTTACAGTTTATGGGAAATATGGAGGGGAAGAGAAATGAGGTAATGGCCTCATTAAAAAAGCAAATAGAGCCCAACTGCCCATGGTTCAATGGCTGAACATTGACCTATGAACTAGGAAGTCACAGGTTAATTCCCGGTCAGGGCACATGCCCGGGTTACGGGTTTGATCCCCAGTGTGGGTTATACAGGAGGCAGCCAATCAATGATATTCCCTCTTCATTGATATTTCTCTCCCTCCCACTTTCTCTCTGAAATTAATAAAAAATTTTAAAAAGTATGACAATGGCATAGTGATTAAGTAAGGAACACCCATATTTTAAAGAGATGCATATTGAAGTATGTAGGGATAAAATGATAAACTCTGGGATTCTGCTTTAATATACCCCAGATCAGCTGTTGCCAACCTTTCGGACCTCATGGACCACCTGTGGTTCATGGGCTACTGGTTGGCAACTGCTGACCTACATAATATGTTTTAATCTGGGTATATTAAAGCACAGATGAAATAATTATGATAATAACTTAGTGCCCCTGAGATAATTATATAGTATAAAATATTCAAAAGTATACAAAATAAAGTATACTTTTGAATATTTTTATAATAGAGTTTTATCTAAAAGGATAAGCCCTTTGTTATTAAAACAAAGTTTAATCTTTTTTGTGGGATTACTTTTTCACTCAAGTACTATTTTCCATGGGCCCATTACATGTCCTTCACCAGTCTAGATATCAAGGCCACAGCTGTCGATTGGTCAAACAAGATAACTGCTATTACAGAACTTACTTTTTTACCGTGGGAGATTGACATTTAAAAAATACATATTTAAATAGTTAAGAATAAAGATAATAAAATAGGATTAAAAACAATCATTACTTGTGAGGAAGCATGGGACTTGGATGGCAAGTTTGTAAAGAGGAATCTTTGAAAGGTCGGAGGCCCCTAGGGGAACCTGGCCAAAAGTGGCAGACCCTGGCTTGACTTTTCCAAACAAGCCTGAGGCTCTGGTGTTTTACTGGAATCTTTATGTTTAGACTCCAGACGTTCTTGCTTAAAGGACACTGCAGATGTATGTGTTTTCTCAACGATATTTACCCTGCTAATAGCATCTAGAAGTTAATTTTAGTTCAAACTGATGCTACAGTAAAAGCCTAAGAGGCAGGTGAACGGGGATGTCTGGTTTCTTTAACCAGGCTGTCCCTTAGCCCTCTCTTTCACAGAAATATGTGTCAGAGTAATTATTCATCCATCACTCAGGGTCTGCTGGTTAGCCTCGGCAACTATATTATTTTCCCTTGCCTTTTAAATATGAATATATTCAAGATCCAGAAAAGGCTGGTTAAAACAAGCTACATAGAATGAAGACACTTCATTCAGAAATATTCCTCCTTGCATTTCCTATTTGCCTACGCTTCTTTCCCTAAAGTACTATATACATATGGACTATCATTTGAACTCAATGGTCTCTATGATAAAATAATCTGGAATCCACATTATAAGCAGATTTTAGAAATTTAAATATAAAAAAAGAGCCAATCAAATCATCATGGATCCTAGTGCAAATATTTTTGTTTAGAGATAGTCTCTGCAACATGGTTTTCTAATAGTTAAAAAGTAAAAACTACATAAATGTCTATAAGAAAGGAGTTGATTAAACAATCTGATATATCAATGCAATGGAATATCATGCAACCATTAAAATAGTGATGTAAAACTAATGTCACAGAAAAAAATGTCATGGGGATAGTAAGTGAAAAAGAGATTTTATAAAACAGTATAATAAAATATTTTTTTATAAATATACACATATTTATGATCACACAAATGTCTGAAGAAAGTATTCTAAGATTTAAAATTGTTATTTCTGGTGATAGAATTAAAGTTGACATTAAATGTTTCTCCTTACCTATATTTTTCATTTCTTCCCCAAAATAAAAACAGATAACTCTTATAATAAAAAAATATCTAAATAAAATTAAAATTTAAACATACAAATTCTCCATATATCGGATTTTAGATGCTTAAATGGGTCTGTTATTTTAAAATATTAATGGCTACTTTAAATAATGATTACTCATAAAACTATTCAAATACCACAGTATAAAAGAGAATATAAAATTGCCTCTTCACCTCCATCCCTCTGCAATGAATGAGAGGTAACAACTGTTTACTTAATAAACAAATTTTTCTATGTATATGAAAATATACACATATATTGTACACACCTACAACTTATTTCCCCCCTTACTCTATCACAGAAATACCTCTTCACAATTCTGTGCATGGAGCTACTTCATTTCTTAACTGCTGCATAGTATTCCACTAAATGCATGAACTAAAATTTATTAAGTCTCCTAATGAACATTCTGGTTTATTTTGCTATTGAGGATAAAAGATTAACAAAAAATCTTTTTCCATTCTGCATGAAAATTTCACCTTTGATTAACTCTCTGCCTCTGTTCCACTGGCAACTTTAAAGAAATGGATGGGTGTCAATTATTTTACTAAGCTATGTTACCCTCAAATTGGTAGACTCTATCTTCATTGGAAGAATTATAAATATTCTGATAAGAAGCTATCTTTGGTTCTCTTTATGATATAAACTGAAAATTACCTATGCCTATATAACTTATAAGAGGCACTGGCTATGATGGGGTATGAGGCTTTTAAGCCAAGATGGTGGATTCCATGCCCATTCCCTGTGGATCAGGTCTTTTTTTTTTTTTTTTAATAGCTGCCATTATTATTTTTTAAAAATATATTTTATTGATTTTTCACAGAGAGGAAGAGAGTCAGAAACATTGATGAGAGAAAATCACCAATCAGCTGCCTCTTGCACACCCCCTAATGGGGATGTGACCACAACCAAGGTACATGCCCTTGACCGGAATTGAACCTGAGACCTTTCAGGCTGACGCTTTATCCACTGAGTCAAACCGGTTTTGGCTGGATCAGGTCTTATTAGTCCTGAGCTGTACTGCTATTCTGACTACTGCAAGGACTCCCACAGAAGTGGAATATCATATTTGATGCTACCCTGCTGGCATGCTACAGTTCCTGTCTTGAGTAGATTGACACCACCTATGGTAACCTGGTCAGTCCTTAGTATAGTTGATTCTAAAATGCTCTAGTGGATATGGCAGTAATCATTAACAATAATACAATGACACTCTTGCACATATATCTTTGTACTATATTGTCTGTTCATTTCCCTGAGAAAAATCCCTACAAATAGTCTAGTAGCAAATGCATTATTTCAAGGTTTGGTCTCCAATGATAAACTGCTCTCCTAAAAAGTTGTACCAATTTACTTTCTACCTGAACATCCCTTGAGAATGCCTGGGTCTCTAGAACCTAGCCAACATTAGCTAATATGAATTCTACTAATCTTTGACCATCTGATAAACAAAAATTGCTAAGATCTTGTTTTAATTTGCATTACCTTAATTACTAATAAGGTTAACAGTTTTTCACACGCTTATAACCAACTCATGGCTATTTCTTTTACATTTCTAACTAGTTATTATTACAATTGTTTTTAAAAATTCACCTCATATGCATTAGCCTTACTGAGGAATTAAGTTTAATAAATTCAGAATTGATTCCTTTGTATTTTCTTGTAGATAATGGCATCAAAAACACCGACAGCTTTTCTCCTTCACAATATTTATTATACATTTTCCTTCCTATTCTTGCTATATTGGCTTAACCCTCCAGAAGAACACTGAAAACAATGTTGGTAGTTGGCACCTTGTCTTGTTCCTGATCTGAATGAAAGTATGATAGTATAGTGGTTCTCAATTAGAGATGAACAAGAAAATCACATGGGGAGTCATAAAAATACATAGTTTGGATCTCTGCCTACTGAATTTAAATCTTTGAGGATGGGGTCCAGGCAAAGAACATTTCTAAAGAGGGCCCTCTCCTCCCCCCAGGTGATTCTGAGGCTCAACCATGAATAAGGACCATTGTCCCTTTAACACTAAATAAGCTAGTTGCTGTTGTTTTCTCATAAACACTCTATTGAGATTCCTAGCTTATCAAGAGCACTCTTGTTAACTTTAAAATTCATGGACATTAAATGGTAGCAAATGTCCTTTCACTATCGATAAAGAGGTGATAAGATTTTTCTTTATTAATTATAATGGACCACATTAATATACTGCCTAATTTTGAACAGTCTTTAAATTGTTAGAATACAGCACTTGATTTTATAATATTTTACTTAGGATTTTGGTATATATAGAAAATTAGATGGGTCTATAGTTTCTGTTTTGTTTTAAATGTTATTTTTGTCAATTTTGGTGCCACAGTTATGCAAGTTTCACAGAATGAACCAAGAGGTTTTCCATCTTTTGCTCTGTGCCAGGTGGATCTCTTTAAATAATACTGGAATTACTTGTTCCATAAAGGCTTTATAAAACTCACTTGAAAATCATCTGTGCCATTATTATTAAACAAGGTTTTGCAAATTTTATAATACAGCATTAGCACCTCATGCAGAAACTCAAATGACACGGTGATTGCTTATGTAAATTCTTTTGTACACAGAAGAGTAGGCCTCGAGTCACTGGCTCATTGCATACTGAGAATGTGAGAGTAAGGAAATGCTTTATAATTTGCACAGGCAAATAAAATTCAGGGATCCCTACCAACTTATTCACCATTCAATTAATGGAACCTTTGTAGATGCACATTGATAACACTAGTCCCGTGGCAGGCAAACTGCCGCTAGCGAGCCACATGCGGCTCTTTGGCCCCTTGAGTGTGGCTCTTCCACAAAATACCAAGGCCTGGGCGAGTCTATAAGAAGTGGCATTAGAAGAAGTTTTAAGTTTAAAAAATTTGGCTCTCAAAAGAAATTTCAATCGTCGTACTGTTGATATTTTGGCTCTGTTGACTAATGAGTTTGCCAACTACTGACGGTACTAGCCCAATGCAGCACTTGGAAGACCCATAAAAAAGAGGGTATCTTATAATCTCAAATCGCCAAAGTTTACTCTTTCATCATTCTTCTATGAGTATCTTTTGATTTGTATCTTCATAATCCTATCCTATTCTAAGCTCCCAACAATTGTCACCCGGACCCTCAGCAGTAGCCTCCTAACTCACTTCCCCATTTGTATTCTTGCTTCTGTACCACTCTCTGCCTACAACACTTTCCCAACACCCCCACATTCATTTTCACCCTTCATATCTCAGCTCAAGCACTGTGTCTTAAGGAAATTCCTAAACACTCTACCACTATGAGCTAGGTTAGGTCCTCCTTGTTATGTGTTCTCACAGTGCTTGGTAATGTACCCTTTAAAGTACTTATGTAGTTTGTAATTGTATACTTAGCATGTGGCCACTGAATTAATATGTTTCTCTCACTAGACTGTAAGCTTCATGAAGGCACAATCCATATCTATTTTGATCACTTTTGTAAGCTCAAATCCTGGTACAATGGCTGGCACATAGTAATCATAATAAAAACAAGTTGAATGAATGCTAATTCAGGGATGTATAGTTAAAGGAAAATGCTATTTGCAGTACTCATTTCTTATATAGAGTCCTCAGTATTCTATACTTTGCTAAATACCACCTAAAATAGTGATTAAGGCCGAAACTGGTTTGGCTCAGTGGATAGAGCATTGGCCTGTGGACTGAAAGGTTCCGGGTTTGAGTATGGTGAAGGGCATGTATCTTGCTTGTGGTCACATCCCCAGTAGGGGGTGTGCAGGAGGCAGCTGATTGATGTTTCTCTCTCATCGATGTTTCTAACTCTCTATCTCCCTCCCTTCCTCTCTGTAAAAAAATCAATAAAATATATTTTTAAAAAATAAAAATAAAAATAAAAATAAAAATAAAAATAAAATAATGATTAAGTAAACTAAATGCCATCTGTTTAAGGGCAGTTACTCACTGACAATGGAAAATGAACAATTGTTCTCTTACTTGTAAATTCCTCGTGACATATTTTCAATGTATTTAGCTTTGTCTTGTACTCCACAGTGGTAATGGTAAGTCTTAACACAGGCTTTTATTTCACATCCAATAGTAGCACCGGGCTGACTGCAAAGTGTACATTTCTGTTTAAGGGAAGAGAAAGAATAATCATAAGCAGTATTTCCAAGTCTATGCAATCTCATTTTTTTTCTATTTTAGCCATATTTCAGCCAAACATTCCAGCTAACAAAGAAATCAGCCAATTTTCTATTAAAAAGTAATGCACTGAACTTATTATATAGCAATATATCAAATAATGCAGTAATTTCAACCATACTTTGATAGACTTTCTAATATTAAGTCATCCCGTTAGAAATATGACATACAAACATAAAGTAGACACTTCTTAATACTGCCAAACAAAAAGAATGGTATTCTATATTTTAGTGGTCAGCTCCTTTTCTTCCCTGAGATCAGCTCCTTTCCTATTATGGAATGAGAAGACAGGGAAGCAATTCCCCCAGGAAGGAATTGCTAACAAGTAGGCAAAAGCGCAGAGACTGAAGATTGAAGGGGCTGAAATCTTTTCAAGACCTCGATCTGGCCTAGATCAGATTTGCCTCAAGAATGTTAGAGATTAGGGGACTCTTTCCCTCTCCACACGTGGGAGTCTATACTTGTTCTTCAATAAATTTCCACCTTTGCTATATATATTAAAAAAAGAATGTTAGAGATTAAAAGGTGACTAATGACAAAAGGATGTCACAGTCAAAGAAATTTGAGAAATGTTAGTTTTAAACAGATTGTTTCTGGAAGGACTTCTCACAATGTTTTCTCCAGGAAGGAGGGTACAGTAAACAGTTCCCAAGTTTACTGAAGTCCAGAGACTCTCTTATTTTTGGAGGGCTAGGGAAGCATCTTGATGGGCTAATTTCCATTGGAGCACACTTGGCGAAATGCTAGGTTATTGCTTACACAGATATTCAACAGTGCAGAGGTAAATAAAGTGATCAAAAGAACTGAATTGTTATCCCAGCCACCTATTTAGACTTTAGCTATATGACACAACAACACTGCTATGCATGATATGATTAAATGATTTCCCCTTTTTTAGCCTATACATTGTTTTAAAGGAGTTTCATTTTTAAAAGTGTAATTGAAGTATAAATTGAAATGGATTTAAATGGAAGAGAGAACATCAACAGTCTCCACACCTTCAAAAGTGTGGATTAAACTTCAAAAGTGTAATTCCCCAAACAAATGGTCATTCCTAATGGATTTAGACAAAGATCAATGTTTGAAACCACTAGGTGAAAGACTGAAGAGGAATTTCAAAACGGAGGGATCAGACTCACTGCCTGAATCCAAAGATCAGACATTATGAGTTGTCTGATATGATAAAAATATGGACGATATAGTACCACCTGTAAAGTATTCTTACCCCCCAAAATTCTGAAACTGAGTCTAATCAAGACTTTACATCTAACTTCATTTTAAAAGAAAATCTGGCGAATAGAGACACAAGTTAAATGGCATCATGAAAAAGCAAACACAAATAAAAGCATGTGGGATAATCTACAAGACAATCAATTAAGTTTCTTCAACAAGTCAATGGCATACAACAAAACAAAACCAGAAACAACAAAGACAGGGAGGAGGGTGTGTCCTGGATCACTGAAGGAATATATAAAAACCACATGTAATGTATGAGACTCCTTTGGGTTCTCATTAACACAAATGAACTTTAAAAAGATTTTTGAGACAACTAGGTATTAAATGACACTGAGGACTCGTTGTTAATTTATAAAGAATAATGACATTGTGGTTAGGTAAGAAAATGTCCAACTTTTAAGAGATACATACTGAAATATGTAGAGGTGAAATGATATCAAGTCTCAGCTCTGCTTTGAAATACTTCAAGTAACAAGATTAAAAGGCATAGATGAAACGAGTGCCGCAAATTCTTGATAACTGATGAGTCAAGGTGATGGACAGACGTGTGTTACTAGTCTTTCTAATTTTGATATGTTTGAAAATTTTCACAATTAAAAATATTTCAAAAATTAAAGTCATTTCTAGAGGTAATTGCTGTCTTAAAGAAGAGATTTTTGCATTCCATTGATATTTTATAATATTCATAAACTGTAAAGTACTGATGAATAAAGATGCCGATATTTCCTAATGCTATTTATTAGTAATTCAGTATGCTTAAAAACATAAGACTTAGGCACGTTTTAAAGAAAACTTTAAAGCTTTGATAAACATTTTAAGAAATATACTATGTATGTGAACTTTAACTTAAACAGAAGGCTCTGAAAAAACTCTCTTCCTTTTATTAAAAAAAAAGGAAGAATAACAACATGAGGCGGTTCTCAATGCTCTATTGGGGTTTTGGAATTTTTCTTTAGGCAAGCTTAAACAATATTAACATTTTAAACTTAATAAGTAGCATTACATTCACCTCATTTTTTTAATTAAGACTCTCAAATACCCTGAAATATAAATCTCATAATTCTATTAAATAATGAAGTTACATAGAAAAAGGAATAAGATTCAGTAACATCAGCATCCTTTATTATATTACAAATAAGTCAAATAGATACTGTGCTTTAACATATGGATTACTTTATATTAATTTTTTTATGGCTGGATAAATTTGGAAGTGTTCTATATTTAAAGCAGAGCATCAGAAGAGAAAGGTTGCATAGAATATAAAACCACAGACCATTCTCTTTCCTCGCTTAATCTCCTGTAGAACAGTTTTAATATCAAAATCTCCAAATTCTGCTCTTGATGTTGTTGTGAGCTGGACTGTGCCAGAAGAAAATAACTAGAAGAAAAAATGCAAGAACATTTAATATTCAAAATAAAAAAAAATCAAAATCCTTTTTAGAAAAAGACTAAACATAATAAGAAATAGATGTGTTACATTACTTCAATGTCCTGAGAAAGAGGAGTTTTCCTTAATAATCAATTATTGATTCAAATATTTTTAATATATTACTGTCTGCTTGAAATATAACCCAAAATAAAAAGAATGAAATAAAACCAATGTTGGAGACAAGTTCAAATACTTCATTAAACAATGTAGATTTCAACAGTCTCACACTGTCATCTCTACTGTTACATTTCCACAAAGTTTTAAGAAATAGTTTAAATTGGCAAATTTCATTTATAGATGCAGATCAGTATTACCTGGGGATCTCTTTCCCCAAAACATGTTTGGGATCTACTCTAGAGATACATATTTTGGAATAAACTCCCCAGGTAAATTTAATATGCATGTCAAGTTAAGAACATCTGGTATAAATAATATATATTTTAGAACCTAATCATAAATGGGATAAATAATTCAACACAATCTATCTAAATAATAAACATTTATGTATATTTATATTTCAGACCTATAACTAAGGATGCAACGATAAGATACAGTTCTTATGCACAAAGAATTTAAGTGTCCATTATGGAAGAGAGATTCATAAATAGCTGCAATATAGTGTATAAAATACAATAAGAGAGGCATTTACTTGGTTATAGTGGAGACTGAACATATCTTTTATAACAAGTTTATAAAGTTGAAAGTTTGAGTTTTTAGTCAATTACAGATTATCTAGAATATGGTAAGTATAATCAGAATTGATTTAAATCCCACTAAATTATAGAAGCTACATATTTTTTAAAATCTGATTTATGAAGATGTGGGACTATAGGATATCCTATATAATAAAACCGTAATATGCAAATTGACCAAATAGCAGAATGACCAGTCGCTATGACGTGCACTGACCACCAAGGGGCAGACGCTCAATGCAGGAGCTGCTCCATGGTGGTCAGTGTGCTCCCATAGAGGGAGCGCTGCTCAGCCAGAAGTCGGGTTCACTGCTCTTTAGCTCAGCGGCGATGGCAGGGAAAGGGCCTAAATCGGCAGGTGGACATCTCCCGAGGGGTCCCAAACTGTGAGAGGGTGCAGGCTGAGTTGAGTGACCCCCCATCTAGTACTATTCATAATTATAAAATACTAATGCTGGGGGGAAAGTGCATAGTTGGTTACTAGCTAAATGCTTTTCAAAAAACTTGAGTTTAAAAGCATATAAAATGAACTATGCTTACCATACACTTATAATGTGCTGCTGCCTTCTTGGCATTAAATATATGCAGCTTTCCTCTTGCTTCATTTTCTTCCTCCCCTACATGACAAAATCCACATTTAGGCCTGGTGTCACTAGGGCTGCTTCTGTGTGGAGACCTATCTCTCTGCAAATATAAAAGAAAAAGAAACATTTTTTAAAATCCACAAAAGTATGCTATTAGTAACCTCAAGCTTAGTTAACATTTCAAATGATGATTTTTTTCTATAAACACAATTTAAATGAAATATTCATAGTGCAACAAAAAGTAAGAATAAAGCATTTTTCTACTTACATAGGAACTACTTTCCATTTCATCAGTTCCATGAGAGGATGTGGACCTGGTATCTTCCGACAGCCCTTTAAAATTAGTTTTTCGTGGCCTTCCTTTGCGACTTTTCTTTTTATTTTTAGGTGATGAGGGCTCCAGTTCATGTTCATTAAAACTTTCTTCTAAATCAGCTATTAAAAAATGAACAAAAACTTTACATGGACCAACATTAAAATGAGCATTAGTTCATGAGCATTAGATCATAGGTTTCGCCTTAGAATACAACTGCCTTTGGAAATAAGGAGAAATGGTTTGTGATATGTTCAATACAGCAACCTAAAGTTTCATATAAATGTAAAAAATCAAACAAAAATACTTTTATTACAATTGAAAATTACTTAATTGAACATAATCCTATAAAAATTGGTTTTGTGATCTTTTCTACATAATTCAGTAAACATCTATAAAATCTAATAAATTAATTTTTAGAATTAGCTCATTTTCTTGACCATAGATTTCAGAGTCTTACCTTACACTGTTGGTGAAATCAGAACACTTTACCTAGAAAATAAACTTAGAACAACTTGGAAAACTATATGAACATAAAGTAGGTATATCTGTGCTGTATAATATAGTAGCTGCTAGCAACATGAGACTTTTTAAAATTTAAGTAGTTTATAATTAAGAAGAATTAAACCTCAGTTTCTCAACTGCCTTGATGACATTTCAAGTGTGTACTAGTCACATGTGGCAAGGTGTGTCTCTAACGGACATTACAGACAATGTTTCTATCACAGAAAAGTCTACTGAACAGTACTGCTCTAGACAGCTAGTTCTGTAAACTATCATGAAAATGAAATGATCAAATTTAACAAGGAAGTCATCTACAAATGAACTAACTTACCAAGTAATTAAACAAATATTAAGTATAAAAGGAATTTCTAAATAAGCAATAGAAAAGCTATGCTACTGCTGAAAGCGGTTTGGCTCAATGGATAGAGCGTCGGCTTGGGGACTGAAAGGTCCCGGGTTCGATTCTGGTCAAGGGCATGTACCTTGGTTGCGGGCATATCCCCAGTAGAGGGTGTGCAAGAGGCAGCTGATCGATGACTCTCATTGATGTTTCTTACTCTCTATCTCTCTCCCTTCCTCTCTGTACAAAATCAATAAAATATATTTTAAAAAAAAGAAAAAAGAAAAGCTATGCTAGAGAAACCAAGATGGCGGCATAGATAAACAACTAAACTACCGCCTTGCACAACAATTTCAAAACTACAACTAAAAGAAAAAACGTCTATTACCCAGAACTACAGGAAAGCTGGCTGAGTGGAAGTTCTACAACTAGAAGGAAAGATAAAAGAGCACAAGCACTGTAAAGCTGAGGTACGAAGGCACACAAATCGGGCTGGTGGCGGGCGACTGGGCACACTGCTTTTTTCCAACCCAAAGGGAGACAAGCTCCCGATTACTCTGAAATCCAGTTTCTGGGGAGACCCGGGGGACCCAGACACCTACGGGGAAAAGTTGGGCTGTTGGCCATCAGGTCGGAAAGTGAGAGTGACTTTCTTGCAGAGGTGCGCCTAGCAATCATTGTTTACTGCACTGGAGCACGGGATGTGGAGACTAGGAAACACGGAAAGGCAGAGATGGTTGACTGGCAGTCATTGCTGTTTGCCATGCCCTAGCCTAGTGACTCCCTGAGACCCTGCCCCATACAATCTGCAAACCCATCCAAGTTCCACGTAGCGGTATTTGCATATAAATGGCTTGCCCTATCACAGCTTAACCAAACAATCTGCAGCTCTGGTCTGACAGCTCTAAAACCTCCAAACCCCAATTAAAGAAGAGAAAACTGTAGTTCTTGCTGTAGCTCCTGTTGGGTGGCCTCAGACAGTAGCTGACCTGCACCCCATTGGAGATCCAGAAAGTAGTGTATCTAGTGGTTTGTGTGAGATGACACCAGATTTCAACTACTCATATCCATAAGTGACACATTCAAGAGGCAGACTCAGTGAGCACCACAGCCCCACTGGAACAAGTCCTGCCCCATAAGCATGTCTCCAGCACAGAAATTCCTCCATTATAGACACAGCGGGTCCTTACAGCCAATTGGCCTGGAGGTCAATTCCTCCCAGTGACATCAACAACAAGCAAGACTTAACTGCAACAAGGGTGAACACACAGTCCACAAAGGGGTGCACCAAGAGTGTCCATATCAGGCAACTGGGAGGCTGACCTATTGAACCATATAGGACACCCATGCCCACAAAGCTACCCTACCAACTCAGGTTAGCATCGAAAATGCTGAGAAAAGGAAAGAGAACTCAAACAAAAGAAATGGAGGAGAACAAAAGACTGGCTATAGAGTTCAAAACCACAGTTATAAGGTTTTTCAAGAATTTCCTAGAAAAGGCTGATAAATTTAACGAGACCTTTGAGGATATGAAAAAGGACCAACTAGAAATTAAACATACACTGTCTGAAATAAAAAATATTATACACAGACCCAATAGCAGACTAGAAGAATGTAAGAATCAAGTCAAAGATTTGGAATACAAAGAGGCAAAGGACACTCTTCCGGAAAAGCAAAAAGAGAAGAGAATCCAGAAAGTTGAAGATAGTGTAAGAAGTCTCTGGGACAACTTCAAACGTACCAACATCAGAATTATGGGGGTGCCAGAAGAAGAGAGAGAGCAATATACTGAAAACCTATTTGAAGAAATAATGACAAAACTTCCCCACTTGGTGAAAGAAATAGACTTCCAAGTCCAGGAAGTGCACAAAACCCCAAACAAAAGGAATCCAAAGAGGACCACACTAAGACACATCATAATTAAAATGCCAAGGGCAAAAGTCAAAGAGAGAATCTTACAAGCAGCAAGAGAAAAACAGTTACCTACAAGGGAGCACCCATATGATTATGAGCTGATTTCTCAACAGAAACTATGCAGGCCAGAGGGGAGAGGCAAGAAATATTTAAAGTGATAAATAACAAGAACCTATAACCAAGATTACTCTACCCAGCAAAGTTATCATTCAGAATTGAATGTCAGATAAAAAGCTTCACAGATCAGAAAAAGCTAAAGGAGTACATCACCACCAAACCATTGTTACATAAAATGCTAAAAGGTGCTCTTTAAAAAAGGGGGGGGGGGGAGAAAAAAAGTAAAGATAAAAATTATGAACAACAAATACATATCTACCAACAAGTGAATCTAAAAGTCAAGTGAATTAAAAATCTGAGGAAGAGAATAAACTGGTGAATATAATAGAATCAGGGGCATAAAGTGGGAGGGGATTGATAATTCTCAGGGGGAAAGGTGTGTTTGTGTGGGGGGTATGGGAAGAGACTAGACAAAAATCATATACATATGAATGAGGATCGGGGGGAAAGGTAAGGGCAGAGGGTGGGGTGGGGACTGGGTGGAGGGGAACTATGGGGGGGGGAAATAATTGTAATAATCTGAACAATAAAGATTTATTTTAAAAAAAGTTAAAAGAAGTCTTGCAAGCAGAAATAAAATTTTACCAGATACAAATAATGAACTATGCCAAGAAATGGAAAACACCAGCCAAGACCAGTTTGGCCCAGTGGATAGAGCGTCGGCCTGCGGACTGAAAGGTCCCAGGTTCGATTCTGGTCAAGGGCATGTACCTTGGTTGCAGGCACATCCCCAGTAGGGGTGGTGCAGGAGATAGCTGATTGATGATTCTCTCTCATCGATGTTTCTAACTATCCCTCTCTCTTCCTCTCTGTAAAAAATCAATAAAATATATTAAAAAAAAAAAAAGAAATGGAAAACACCAAAGATAGTAAATGCATAGAAAAAAATATAATAGAAGTTTCTTATTATTTAAATACTAGAGGCCCGATGCATGAAATTTGTGCATGGGGTTGTGTGTCCCTTATCCCAGCCTGCACCCGCTCCTATCTGCTGCTATACCACTATACCTAATTTTCGGTACTTTGCCTAGACCTATTTTCTACAATGTCTCCAAGTCCCATCTTATTCTAACCCCTTGTTTGCATGTAATTAACATTTTTCTATATCATGTTGATTTTTTTCTCTTTAATGCTCAGGAGCCCAGGTATAGGGACAGTTAGGTTCAGGACCTTAAGTCTGATAGGTTTAAAGTCCTATATAATAAAAAGCTAATATGCAAATAGTTATCACACCCTCATGTCATCACACCATAACTGCTCAGACACTCAGGCTGGGGAGAGAGGAATGGGGACCAGCCAGGCTCCAGCCCAAGAGAGGGACAACCCACCTACTCTAGGGTCCCAGGTGCCAGCAGCTGGGTTTGCGGCCCAGGAGAGGAACATGCTGCACACTCTGTGGTCCCAGGTGCCTGTGACTGGCCAGAGGGAGGGAAGCCCAGGTCCCAAGTGCGGGTTGAGGCAGAAGCAGTTAGGGGCGATCAGGCAGGCAGGCAGAGGTGGTTAGGGGTAATCAGGCAAGCAGCAGGCAGAGGAGTTAAGGGCAATCAGACAAGGAAGCAGAGGGTTAAGGGTGATCAGTTAAGCAGGCAGGCCGGTGAGTGGTTAGGAGCCAGTGGTCCCAGATTGCGAGAGGGTGCAGGCTGGGCTAAGGGAACACCCCCTCACCCCCCATCCCGTACATGAATTTCATGCACCGGGCCACTGGTAGGAATATAATCTAGCACAATCTTTCTAGAAAGCAGTATGGGAGCCTTAAAAAGATTGAATCCTTTGATCCAGTGATTTTACTTTTGGGAACTTATCCTTAAAAAAATATATAATTGAAAATGCAAGTACAAAGCTAGTCACAGAACCTTTGTTTAAAATTTTCACGGTTACTTACTTACTGGTTTTCTTTTCCCAATTCAAAATTATAAAAATGTTTTAACCTTTTATAAATTTTTTTCTTTCATTATAAAAGATCTGCCTAAAAGTAAAAAAAAATCTTCCTTTCCACCTTCCAATTCCACCTGTTCTGCACTCCCAACTGACACCATAGTTTTCTTGCTTCCCTTTTTTCCTTACAAACTCCATTCCTCCCTCTTAAGGTAACAGTTAACTGCTTCCTTTCTCAGTCTCAAGGGTTGAGAGCCTGGTATTGAATCCTGTATCTGTTATAGACTGTGTGTCCTTAAATGTGAAATCTACCTTAGAAGATTCCTGAATTAAATTAGTAGTTCATGTAAAGTACTTAATTCAGAACAGTGT